TGATGGTGCTCCTAATAAACCCGAACCAGTATCTGGTAGCCACATTCAGGTCCTTCTTCTTAATTGGTGTACCAACCTCGATCAACCTCGGTGTCATATAAGAAATTAGGGGTGCAACCAAACCTTTTAGATCATCCATGGTATTCTTCTTGATGAGGTCAATGAAGTCATGCATGAAGTCCCGTGAGCACCTGAGTACCTCATTATTCTCCGTGCTTCTACACTTCATCGTCTTCCTCGAACAACCACAAATTTGAATGGCTTAAATGTGCTAGCCTTCTTTTTTCCTTTCAGTACCAGCTCCTCATAAAGAAGAATAGAACTGTTAGGCCCAAGTAGGGATGTAAGGACCTCGGAGTTTAGTGAAAATCTCAAACTTATGGAACTTGAGAGTGGTCGATACTTCAGGCTACCGGTCTACCACACCATCGGTAGCCAACCGCTTCTCTTCCAGAATTTTTCTCAAACCCTCGACCTTTAGTCTGGTGAGAGATCGGGGTTCAGGAACTTGAAGTTGTAGAGGGTCCTACAATACTGATGCGCTGTGAAATATTGGCACATTCGATGCTCAAAACTAAAGATTAATACTAGAATCGAGTGTAGTTTTATAAGCTTTGATGTGTTTGAGGAATGTTTAGACAGATTCTCACCTGTGTAGAAAAATGGTCAAAGGAGCACTAGATGAGTGTGATAAAGTGAAGACCACCAGCACCTAGACGGGCAGTGGTCCTTGTAACGAACTGTGGTGACGATCGTGATGGATTTCCAGTGAAGAGACATCGAGGAGTTGAAACGAGATTGGACCAAGTAAAGACCACAGATGACTTCACGGCCCATGATCTTCAAGACAGTCTGTGGTTGTGATGGTGGAATGGAGCCAGTGCTTAGGTCTTGAGAAGATGAACTGTAATATCGACCAAGTGAAGTCCACAACAGACCACACAGGTCGTGGTCCCCATAACAGTCTGTGGTGGTGATCGTGAAGTGGATCCAGTGTATAGGCTTTGAAGACTCACATTTTGTTATGGCCAAGTATAGATCACGACAGGTTTTACGGACCGTGAAGCCTTTGACTGTCCGTCATGTTTCCCATGAAGTTGCCCGACAGTTCAGTCCTACTATTAGTAAGCTTCATTTTAGACATTATACTTGAATTATTTATGTTTTTTTTCATTTTTATCTCATCATATCTGGAATGATCGATTAAGTTTGAAATTTTTTTAGCTTTGGTTTTGAATGATTAACATTGAATCAAGTTTTGAAGTAGGATTTTTGATTATAAATTATCAGTTGCTTATCGATTTTGCATACTTTCGTAAGTACTTTCTCATCATGTTTTCATTACATTTTTCTGTGTGTTTACTTGAAATAATGAGTGGCGAAATACCAAAACTGGGATTATGGGATCTATGAAAAAAATTCTAAGTGTAATTTCATAAGACGAGTAGAATGTGAATTATATTTTCAAAGCATAATTATATTTTCGTTATTCATGTATTCTAATGAGTGCACACATTAGAGTTAGAATGTATCTGTCATTTGTTCGAGAGAAATGTGATAGTTGGGAAAAATCTTAATTAACCTGATGAAATGGAGTCAAAGTTCGAGTTCGAGAGAAAAGAACTTTAACACTATTATATACGGGAGTAAATTTGTTAACACTCTAGGACCTAGAGGATTTGAGTGAAAGTTATTCATTAACGTTTCAAAGATACTTCATCCAATTCTAAGTGTCAACGATACTAGTTAGTATAATAACCCAACTGAATGAGTTGGGGTCGAATCCCACAAAGAGTAGCTTCCTTTGAATTCAAATACGAAAGTATGACAATGACCTTTGCAGCAGTGTGACACAACACTTAAGAGTTTCACAATAAAATTTCAAGATATTGTTACCAACCCACTTCAATTTAACAAGAAGAGACAATCAAATAACTAGAAAACACTTGGGGGATTGACTAACCAACAACCTAATTCAACTGAATGGGTGTATATCCTTACCGATAATGCTAATTCGTCGCGGGTAGAATGGACTATAAGTAAATCAATTTTCTCTCAAACAATTGCCTTATTTCCATTGAGTTCTCTCGAACCTCAACACTATCCATAAGCTAACCAACCCACGTTCTCATCAAATCCACTCTTTTGAGCAAGATACGAAGGATGGATTTTGGGTTTCACTTTCTCAAGCTGAAACCGTCAAGACCCACTTCTAAGGATGCCAAAATACTACATTGATTCTGTACTTCTCTCTCAAAAAAGCACAAAACTCTGAAATCTATCACACCAAAGATGCAATAATGAAGTTAAACCACCATAATAATTTATACCCACTTCAGATTAACACCAACAATCACTAATCGATAACACCCATTTAGTAGAAAGCAACAATTGGTGACATTGTCAAACCCCCAAGGTTATGGTTTTAGCCAATCATAGTGAAAAGATGAAAATCAACACCTTCCACGTTTTCCATAGCTGGGTAAATGAAATTTATAAGTTAAAATTTACTAAACTCTTTGCTATTACAAAATCTCCAAGAGAAACCTTGCTAAAATCATTTGAAATCCCCAATGGTAGTGTTTTTTCTCACAATCTTTTGTTCCTCCTGTTTCTGAATGCTTTTCTGTCTCTTCCAAAAATCAATTTATGCAAGTCTGATATGTGGTTGTTTGGGATAAATTGGGGAGGTAAGTCGGGCTTCGCCGACCGTTCAGCGACTCGCCGACTTACCTTCGTCTCACCTTTATTTTTCACCTCTTCTAAGTCTAACCACTATAACTTTTGGTGAGCCAGATTGGGATCGCTGAGTGTTTCAGCGATACGCCCTTTTTCCCTTCATCTATCCCATCAACACTTATTTGTATTTCTATCAGCATTTTTGGAGACCTGGTAATCCATCGCCAATGCGATAGGTGATGCACCAAGTGGACAACTACTCGCCGAAGCTACCCCTCATCTAGCCTCAACATTCTATAACTTTAGGCGGTAGTTTGGCAATTGGGTGAATCACTGAGTGACATTGGCGATCATCACGCTTGTTTTTTCCTTTCTCTTTTTCTCTTGTGTTTCTCTATTGCCCATTTTTGTCCTAGCTTTGTTCCTCAATGCATATATTTGCAGATCGAGAGTTCTACATCAGTTGTTGGAATAAAATGAGCATTTGAGGACACTAAATCAGTATAAATAAACTCCTAAATGAGACTAAATATCGGACTCATCAACACCCCAAACTTAAACTTTTGCTTGTCCTCAAGTAAAACTCAAGTTTAACAGTTCAAAAAGGATGTCTCAAACAGTGCTACACAAAACTCAATCATGAATGCACACAAGACTTAACTTACTAATGCAAGGATCAATTGTGCACTCAAAGAATCAAGTCGTGACTCACCATTATCAAAGATTCTCAAGCTCACAATACTTGCTAAAAATTCAAGTTCAAGCTCAACAAAGGTACTCAAATTCCCTCACACAAAGATGATTCCATAATCACACAAATGGTTCAACAATTTATAGCTCCAAAATCACAACACCTCTCACACTCAAAAAGATGAACACATGCATGACTCCACCCATAGGTTTGCCCGTTTTTTCCAACCAACAATTGTGTTAGCTCACTCAAGATCAAAGAGGTCTTCTCAAGGCTTGTAACGGGGTTGAGTGTAAAGGTATGGTCATTTGGTCTCAGTGGCTTCTATCCTCATGAAATATGGTTTGAACAACACTTTCTTTCCCTTTTGTTTTCAAAAATTTCATTCATGTTCAAAATTCACCCCATTATTCATTTTCCATGGAACACCGGACACCCCATTTCTTTTTGCAACTTTATTTCACAACTTTTTCATTCTTCTTATTTTCTTCTCTTCTTTTTCTATTTTTTGTATGTAGGGATTCCATCTTTTTCAAAACCATGGGTAGTGGAGAATTCTTCACATTTCTTGATTTACCTTCTCTTTTCACCACACCCCCCAACTTAGGTTTTTGGCCTAAGTTGGTTATTCGAACAAACCACCTCTCAAGAGGATTAACGGTGAAGGGATAAAGAGAGGTCACAATTGCATTAAGTTTCTTCCAAGAAAAGGGTAAGGCTCAAAGGGTGCTCAAAGGGAGTTCACACACTCACAAGGTAGGCCACCAAATAAGTATAATGTCAAATTGTTTCACTCTTTAAAATTTGTTGCCTAAGTTCATTTCAAGAGCTTGCATCACTTAGTCAATCGGACCAACATGGAAAATTCTAGGTGTCATCACACATGGTTCTCGGTAAGTAGCTTATCACAGAAGGCATTGACAGTGATGTCAAACAAGACTCCACACTTATGCTAGTGTGCAATGTTAATCACAAGAGACTTAATTCAATAATTTGCTAGTCACAATGAGATGCAATAAAAAGTTCACATATTGCGTAAGCAACTTCATTTGGTCTCTTCGTAGCTACACACTACATGTTTGTTTGATTGAGAGCACTATTCAAGTCATCAGTATTGATCACAACCGACACCCAAATTTGTACAAGAACAGCCACAATTAAATACACAAGAGGTGACAAAATTGGAAGGGTCCAAGAACACAAAGGACTTCACGAACCAAGCAGACACCCCACCAAAGCATTCAACATTGTCCCCAACGTGAGTAGAGAACGGACACTCCCACAAATAAAGCAAGAAAACAGTAAAAACTAGCAAATAAAGATAAAATTTTAGTATATAAACTTGCAGAGCAAGGTGACGAAGAATCTTCACTAAGAGTCCCATTCGCGAGAAAATGAACCAGTCGCCGAATGCTTTGGCGGTGCGCCTACTGAGCTGAATATCTCCTTTAATTCCAGTGAGTGACACTCTCAGAAAGGGGAAAATCGGAGGAGATGCAGGAGTTCACCAAACACGTCGATGATTCGGATAAAGGACTGGGAACATCGCTGAACAATCATTGAGATACGTTGTCAGTGTTGGAGTAAAAGGGCAAGAAAAATTGGTCTCCTAAGCACATCGGCGAATCGCCTAGTCATGAAGGTCTCCCGCCGAATGTTCTAGAATCTCAGCCCCATTTTTGAAGTCCATAGGGTAGACTATGTCGTGCTCGCCTAACGGGTTCGGCGATTCGCCAATAGCATTTTCTCCTCGCACATTATCCTGCACCTGCAAAATCAACACACATTATTCAAAACACTAACACTTGGGTTGACTCCCAAGAAGTGCCTTATTTAACATCATGGCACGACGTGGAGATTCTCTCAAGCATCTTCCAGGTATGCCACCTCAATCAGAGAAATATCTTGGCATTCGCCAAAGTAGAACATCAATTGTTGCCCATTAACCTTAAGCGCAGATCCTTTTTGACCTTCAACTTTGATTGCACCTTTTGTGAACACTCGAGTCACTCTAAACGTTCCTGACCATATTGACTTGAGCTTTCCTGGAAAGAGTCTAAGTCGAGAGTTGTATAGTATCACCCAGTCTCCCACTCTGAACTCCCTTTTAAGGATTTTAGCATCATGCCATTTCTTCATCTTTTCCTTGTAAAGGGCTGAACGATTCATAAAATTTGAACCTGAATTCGTCCAACTCATTTAACTTCTCTACTCTCTCTTTTGAAGTCTTTGACCAGTCCAGATTTAGAGCTTTCAATGCCAACAATGCTTTGTGTTCCAATTCAACTGGTAAATGGCAAGATTTTCCAAAAACTAGCTGATACGGAAACATACTGATTTGTGTTTTGTATGCAGTACAATATGCCCATAGTGCGTCATCAGGCTTTCGAGACCAATCAGTCATATTAGCATTCACTGTCTTGGCCAAGATGATTTTGATCTCCCAGTTTGACACTTCAACTTGGCCTCTCATTTGTGGATGATACAGAGTTACTACTTTGTGTTTCACTCCATACTTAGTCAATGCGGCTGAGAACCACTTGTTGCAAAAGTGGGATCCCCCATCACTAATAATAGCCCAAGGAGTACCAAATCTCGCAAAGATGTCACGTTTCAGGAATTGAACAACATTTTTCCCTTCATTGTTTGGAAGTGCAACAGCCTCCACCCATTTAGAAAGATAATCTACAGCCACCAAAATATACTTATTACCAAACAAACTCACAAATGGGCCCATAAAATCTATTCCCCAAACATCAAATAACTCAACTTCTAAAATGGTCCTACGATGCAACTCGTGTCTTTTAGACACTCCACCTTGTTTCTAACATTGAGTGAACTTCTTCACAAAATCATGAGCATCTTTGTACAGAGACGGCTAGTAGTATCCACTTTGTAGAAATTTAGCAGTCTTACGTACACCACCATGATGACCTCCAACTGGTGAAGCATGACAAGAATGGAGAATTTTCATGGCTTCTTCATCCGGAACACATCTCCTAATGATATGGTCTGCACACTCCCTGAATAAATATGGTTCATCCCAAAAGTACTTCTTAACATCAAACAAGAACCTTTTTTGTTGGTAGAAGTTCAGTTCGTCTGGCATTAATCTACACACTACGCAATTGGTAAAATCAGCGTACCAATGAGGCCATTTGAGAGTTATCGTGAATACCTGTTCATCGAGAAAAACATCACTTATGTCGATCTCCATCTCGTCACTTTCCTTGCTTTCCAATCTTGATAAGTGGTTAGCCACCTGATTTTCACAACCTTTCCTATCTTTGACCTCAAAGTCGAATTCCTACAATAAAAGCACCTACCTTATCAGCCTTGGCTTGGCATCCTTCTTTGCCATCAGATAACGCAGTGCATCATGATCAGTGTGAACAATCACTTTAGTACCTAGCACGTATGCCCGGAACTTCTCAAACGCATAAACTACCGCAAGTAACTCTTGTTCCGTAACTATATAGTTACGTTGAGCACTATTTAGAGTTTTGCTTGCGGAGTAAATGGGGTGAAAAGGTTTGTTGTGTTTTTGCCCCAATACAACACCTAATGTCTTGCCGCTTGCATCACACATTACTTTGAAAGATTCTAACCAATCAGGACTACTGATGATTGGGCTGGAAAGCAAATTTTCTTTCAAGCACTTGAAAGCCACTATGCAAGCATCATCAACATGAAATTTCACCTCCTTCTCCAAGAGTTTTCATAGAGGATGTGCAATCTTTGAGAAGTCTTTGATAAACCTCCGGTAAAAATTGGCATGTATCAAGAAACTACGAACACCCTTCACCGAAATTGGTGGTGGTAACTTATCAATCACTTCAATCTTTGCTTTATCAACTTCCAACCCCTTTGGCGACACTTTGTGACCAAGAATTATACCTTCCTTAACCATGAAATGGAATTTTTCCAAATTTAGGACCAAATTTGTCTCCATACATCTTTGGGGAACTTGTCCTAAGTGCTCTAAACATGCTTCAAAAGTGTCACCCACAACCGAGAAGTTATCCATAAATCCTCCAAACATGCAACACTGAATTATTGCAGGAGAATTACATAACCCGAACGACATCCGTTTGAAGGAAAAAGTTCTATATGGACAGGTGAAGATGGTTTTCTCTTGGTCCTCGGGAGCAATGGAGATTTGGTTATAATCGAAATACCCATCTAAAACGCAATACCAACCTCTCTCTAAGAGTTGGTCAAGCATTTGATCCTTTAAAAGCATGGGAAAGTGATCCTTTTTCAGTCCACGAATTTAACTTTCCGTAATCCATGAATACTCTCCATCCGGTCATCGATCTCATCGATACAAGCTCTCCCTTTTTCATTTGGGACTATTGTGATGCCTTTTTTTCCAGTACACATTGTACTAGACTTACCCATTTGCTATCCGTAATAGGGTAGATCACCCCTGCGTCCAACCACTTTATTATCTACTTTTTCACCACCTCTTGCATCGGTGGGTTCAATCTTCACTAGTGTTCAATACTAGGTTTACAATCGCTATCAAGCTATATTTTGTGAGTGCAAATGCCGGGATTAATAGCTACTATGTCAGTGATAGTCCACCCTGTAGCTTTGATATGCCTTCTCAACACCTCAAGGAGAAATTTTACCTTCCATACGAGCAAGTCAGCTGAAACAATCACCGGTAAGGTGTTATTTACCCCCAAGAAAGCATATCGGAGATGGGATGGTAGCACTTTCTACTCTATATTCGGTAGTTCTTCTGTTATGGCTTTGCGGGAGGGCTTTCTCAATTTTTAGATCAATGTCCAACTTCAATGGATTCTTTGCAAACTCCCCACCCCCAAGCCTGAAAGAGCAGCTATCACATCTTCATAGCCTTGAATTTCAAATTCATTATAGTTAGCGAGCAGGACTTCAAGTGGTTCGCTCATGCACATCAAATGGCTCACACTAGCCACTGCCTCGTCAACAACATCAATAGTGGAGACCATATAAATATCACTTGGCTGTTTCATTGACTTACAAACATTAAAGGTCACTTCATCTTCTTTTACTCGAAACTTCAAATCTCCACTTTCAACATTCACCAACGCTCTCCCGGTTGCCAGAAATGGTCTTTCAAAAATAACAGGAATTCGAGCATCTATTTCACAATCGAGAATGACAAAATTGGCTGGGAAAATGAATCGGTCAACCTTTACCATGATGTCATATTGTATCTCCAAAGGGTGTTTAATTAATCGGTCCGCCATAAAGGGTCTCATTGTTGTAGCTTTTAGTTCACCCAACCCAAGTTGTTTATAGATCGCATATGGCATTAGGTTGATGCTTGCTCCCAAATCGCATAGAGCTTTAGCAAATTGGAGCATGCCAATGGTGCAAGGGATGATGAAAGCTTCAGGGTCCTCTTTCTCTTTGATCTTCTCATTAGTCATAATTGCACTACAACTATGAGAAACTTCAATGGTGTCAAGGTCCAAACTTCTTTTTCTTGTGACCAATTCCTTCATAACCTTGGCGTACCCCGGCATTTCCATTAATGCCTCCACAAGATGGAGATTAATTGATAATGTCTTGAACACCAATAGAAACTTTTTAAACTTATCATCCTCATTCTTCTCTTTTAGGCACTAGGGAAATTGATGGGATATTTTGGGAAGAGGCTGCATAGGTTTTGGAATTACACTTTTTTTCCAACATCTTTTTGTGTCCCTTTGGCAATGCTTTGATGAATAGGTGTTTCTTCTTCCCCTACACCTTTGTCTTCTTCATGCATTTGAGCTTCTTCATTGTTGGTCACATCAGCTTTTGCTACCTTTCCACTACGAGTAACCATAACCAGCCCTCTATTATCATCTTCCATTATCATTTTTTATTTCAATTGCGCTGAAAGTAAACTTAACTGGCCTTCAAGTATCTTGATTGCATCTGCGTGGGAGTTCACTTTATTGTTCAATGATGAAAAGTCAGCTTTGATTCCTTTTAGCAAATCATCTGAACCCTCCACTTTATTAAGGATACGTGACAACAAGTCATTAACCCGAGGACTACTTGTACTCCCATTCGATTTTGGTCTTTCACTCGAGTGGGTGTTGTCCTCTTCATGGTCATCCTCCCTTTTCCAATAATCACTTTGCTCAGCCTAATCTTGATAGTATCTTCTTTCCTCGTCCCCCTTGTGATAGTTCCAACCTTTATTTCCACCTCACTGTAAATAGCGTTGGTGGGAACCCTCCTCATATCTCTTGGAGTTCTAACCTTGATTCTCCCTCGACTTTGAATAACCTGAGGAAGAACCCTCCTCAACTCTAAACACTCTACATGTCCCCTTGGGCTTTCCCACATTATCCATCATTTGCTCTTGTAATACCTTCATTTTGGTCAACGTCCTCTTGATGTTTTCATCCCTTTCTCTTTCCTTAGCAAGCTGTTCTTGTGTCATTCTAAAATAAAAAGGAGAGACTTGATCCTCTTGAGTGTATCAACCTTGATTTATTTTCGTCATGTCATCAAGAAGAAATAAAGCCACCTCAAATGATTGCAACATTATTCCCCCTCGTACCAATTGATCAACCACTCCTTTATTAACCGAATCAAGACTCTGCTAAAAATATTAGAGTAGAAAATTGTTTGGTAGCCCCAGAGTTGGGCATTTATGTAAGAGTTTCTTAAACCTCACCCACGTTTCATAGATGGGTTCACCTTCCCATCGGTTGAAACCTTGGATGTCATCTCTAAGTTTCATCAGCCTAGATGGGGGGGCGGGGGAGAATTTTGCATTCAATGCTATAATAAACTCCTTCCATGAAGTGATGGAATTGTTTGATAACTCGGCCAACCACTTGCTAGCCTCCCCCGTCAAAGATAGTGGAAATATCCTAAGCGAGATCGACTCTTGTGACACATTCTTGAATGAAAACGGGCTGCACACCTCAATAAAATTTCTTACATGCTCATGTGGGTCTTCATGCTCTAGCCCTCAATAGAATCCCCTCATTTGGGGGAGATGAAGAATCGTGCTAGTGAGCTCAAATATTTCCTTCCCATCAGTTGGTGGTAGGCGAATTGCACCCATTTCACCTGGTAGAGATGGGTTGTAAATGCTATTGATATCATCGATACCGTCCGAATGACTTTCTTGGCTACCATTCACCTCTTCCATACTCATTTTTACTACTATTTAGTCCAACCAACACTACAAAAGGCAGTCCAAACCAATTCAACTACGACCAACAAATTCACAAGTCAAACCTTTGATACAAGAAATCTAAGTGACGCTATTCCCCGGTAGCGGTGCAATTTTGATTAACATTTCAAAGACACTTTATCTAATTCTAAGTGTCAACAATCGCTAGTTAGTATAATAACCCAACTAAATGAGTTAAGGTCAAATCCCACAGAGAGTAGCTTCCTTTGAATTCAAATACGAAAGTATGACAATGACCTTTGCAGCTGAGTGGCACAACACTTAAGAGTTTCACAATCAAATTTCAAGATATTGTTACCAACCCACTTCAATTTAATAACAAGAGACAATCAGATAACTAGATAACACTTGGGGGATTGACTAACCAACTGTTTAATTCAACTGAATGGGTGTATATCATTACCGATAATGTTGATTCGTCGCAGGTAGAATGGACTTTAAGTAAAGTTATTTTCTCTCGAACAATTGTCTTATTTTCGTTTAGTTCTCTCGAACCTCAACACTATCCATAAGCTAACCAGTCCACGTTCTCATCAAATCCACTCTTTCGAAAAAGATACAAAGGTTGGGTCTTGGGTTTAACTTTCTCAAGCTGAAACCACCAAGACCCTCTGCTAAGGATGCCAAAATACTACGTTGGTTCTGTATTTGTCTCTCCACAAAGCACAAAACTCTGAAATCTATCACACCAAAGATGCAATAATGAAGTTAAACCACCATAATAATTTAGACCCGCTTCAGATTAACACCAACAATAACTAATAAATAACACACATTTAGTAGAAAGCAACAATTGGTCACATTGTCAAACCCCTAAGGTTAGGGTTTTAGCCAATCATAGTGAAAAGATAAAAATCAACACCTTCCATGGTTTCCATAGCTGGGCAGATGAAATTCAAAAGTTAAAATTTACTAAAATATTTTCTATTACAAAATCTCGAAGAGAAACCTTGCTAAAATCACTTGAAATCCTCAATGGTAATGTTTTTGCTCTCAATATTTTGTTCCTCCAGTTTTTGAATGCCTTTCTCTCTCTTTTAATAATCAATTTATGCAAGTTAGATGTGTGGTTGTTTGGGATAAATCGTCGAGGTAAGTCAGGCTTCGCCGATCGTTGGCGAATCGCCGACTTTCTTTCATCTAGCCTTCATTTTTCACCTCTTCTAAGTCCAACCACTATAACTTTTGGCATGCCAGATCGGGATCACCGAGTGTTTCAGTGATACACGCGTATACCCTTCATCTCACCAATCTATACTTTTCTGAATCTCTATCAACTTTTTTGGCGACCTGGTCATCCATCGCCGATGCGATCAGCGATGCGCTGAGTGGATTGCTGCTCGCCGAAGCTACCCCTCATGCAGCCTCAGTTTTCGGTAACTTTAGGTGGGAGTGTGGCAACTGGGAGAATCGCCGAGTGACATCAACGATCATCAGGCTTGTTTTTCCCTTCTCTTTTTTCGCTTGTGTTATCTCTAATACCCATTTCTGTCCTAGGTTCGTAGCTCTACTCCATTGAAGGACAAGGATGAAGCTTTAGAAACTCCAAGGAGGCCCATAACAAAATCTCAAACCAAGGAGTTCAATGATAAGCTCAATGGGCTTCAATCGCTGATCCAAAGGTGACTTATTGGGGAAGAAAAGCTCAAGCCCAAGAGAGAGGAATTATCCAAATGCTACAATTATTTGGTGGCCCAAATTCAAGCCCAAGATGAGGAATTTTAAGGTCCAATTTCGTGCAAATAAGGTCAAGAAGAGTCCAAGAATCAGCTACAACAAGAGTTGCTTTTTGCCCAAGTTTTGAGAGAAGACTAGTCAAACTTTCCAAGATTGTCAAGATTCTTTTCCTAGTTGGGATTTACCTTATTTCTTTATTTATATATAGGTTATTAATATTTTCCTTAGTCTATTTATGGTCTCCTAAGTACCATTTAATTCGTTCCTAGAAGTACTAAATTTGTTCCTAGTTAGGTTACTTTATTTCCTTTCTAGAGTAGGATTCCTTGTAATTGTCTTTCTAGCGTTTGGCTGACCTTTGTGCTTCGTATAAGGGGTCTTGGACGTTCTCCCCCCTTCTCCTATATATAGGAGTCCTTTTCATTCATTAAAGGAATTTTTAGATTGATATTAATAATATTTGAGAGAGTTCTTTGAACCTTTGTGACTTGTTCTTTGAGAATTTTTCTTTAAACCTTTACTAGTTTCATAGTTTAAGGTATAAAGTAACTTCTTCTTGTGATATCTTTGTTTTCTTTTTGGTATTCTTTAGAAGGTGATTAGTTTCTACATACTACTTATTGTCTTTAGTTACTCATAAACTGGTCAAGATCCGAATCTATCGTTTTGATTCGTTTTCTCAAGTAAAGGCGTTAGATTTCTTTCATAAATCTATACGTTGTTACTTGGATCTTTTCAAGGTCTTAGAACATCTAATCCTTGGAAATTCGTGGATCTTTCCTGCGAATTTCCCATATCTTTAGTTAGTTTTTTTTGTTTTTTCTCTTTGTGCTTCCGCATTCTAATATTCAATTCTCTATTTGTGATCTCCTTTAACCTTGCTGTTATCAAGTAGTATCAGAGCGGTTTTATCAAGATTTCGTTCTTGATAAATCTTGGGATTTCTTCTTATATTAGAATAGAAAAAAAAAAAAAAAAAAAAAAAAAAACTGTAGCGTGAAAAAAAAAATATTGTAGCGTGAACAGTAGTGTGAAAAAAAAATACAGTAGCGTGAACAGAAAAAAAAAGTTATAACTTGCTCTCTAAAAATCTGATTACTTGTCCTCCAAGAAATTTGATTACTTGATACCCAAGAAAGCTTATTATTTGCTATTCAAGAAATCTTATTTCTTGCTCTCCAAGTTTTGCATTAATTTGCTTCCAAGCAAGAAGGTAGCAAGAAGAGGGGATTCTAGATCTTTAAGAATAAGAGAAATTTTGTTTTTCTTGTTCTTATAATTCTAAAATAAGTTCTTTTTATTCTTGTTTTGTTTCAACTAAATCATACTTGTTCTAGGACTAGTTCGTTACTTTCTTTTTGTACCCCAAGATTCCATACTTTATTACTACGAACTTGATACACGTTTTGGTTTAATTATAAATCTACAAAGTATTCTCGTTCAAAAGTTATTTTGAGTGGAAAAAGGCAAGTGTGGGTGAGTTTAAAAGAGGGTAAAAGCCATATCAAAAGTGTGATACTTGATCATTTATTCTTTTTTTTTAGATGTCTAATTCAGGTGGTGATGAGGAAAGGGCTCGTTTAGAAGACGATGTCAAAGGAAGGAACGACTTCACCCTTCAAGCTATGCACCAACAATTTGAGAGAT